ACTTATTTGGTAAGTATAAAACATATAAAATTAAATAAAAATATAATATTGGTAATTATAATTATAAATAAAAATTAAAATATAAATATATCTAAACTACAACTATATAAATAATGTAATTTACAACAAAATAAAAAAATACTTTTACTTGAAATTCTTCACATTTCCTACAAAACAAAAAACAAAATATACATAAATATAAAAGAAAACTGAAAAATGTAATAAAATAAACATATATACATGAAAAATTTTAAAGTTCGCCAAATGTGACCTAGAAAAAAAAAAACAAAATAAAAAAGCTGCTGTTTAGGGCATATACGGACCGATACCGGTCCGTATAAGTATATTCGGACCGTCATCGATCCGAATATAGGCACTCCGAGGGATTTTTAATCCTAAACTTAAATTAATTAAGTATGAATATATATACGGACCGATTTTGGTCTGAATATATGCAAAGAATCCAGAAGCTTACATGCTTTTTATTTTTCAGACCGATTTTGGTCCGAATATACTAGAAAAAATCCAGAAACTTCTCCCAGTGCACATTTTTATTCTTTTCATTTAAGGACATTATCATCTTCTCGTGTCTTAAATCCATTCCTGCGAAAACCAATTGCATGTACATCGACCCTACAGTCACTTGGAACTACAAAACCATTAATTGTCTACCTGAAATTATCTTACGATGGTACGGAGTAATATCGTTGCAAAACCACGAATGTATAAGTTGAAGGTTATTAGAGATAATGTTACGCAATGCTCTTTCGGAGCCACAAGCAAATAAAATTAATTTTTTTTGTTAAGGTTAACCACTTTCGCATGCAAACATTTAAAATGTTACGTTTTAAAACGAGAGTAGAACGACTTAAGAACAAAATAACAAAAAATAAAAAATAAAAAGCTGTTGTTTAGGTGTATATACGGACCGATACCGGTTTGTATAACTTTATACGGACCGATATCGGTCCAAATATAGGCATTCCAAGATTTTTTAATCCTAAAG